GTGTCAGATGAATTGTGAAGTATACGGTGATTATTGAACATTTTATATGAATGATGTATGGATGAATTGCACATTGTATTGCATGATGATGATGTTGTTGTTGTTGGACTGGAAATGGCATAATATTGAGGGCTTATGCCATGTTGCTGCCCTATTCAGAATTATAGTGAGGGCTTATGCTTTGTTGGTTGGTACCAATTGAGTCCGTGAGTCGATCACATTGCATTATACTATTAATTAACTTGATGATTTTAATGTGGAAGAAGTATGAGTTGCATTATGATGGTTGTTATATGTTGCTTGTATATTTAATTGTATGTTGATGCATCTTGTGGCTACGATGGATGAAGTAAATGTGTGAAGTAAAGAAGTATAATTATGTGTACTTAGTTTGTTATCTACTTATTATTATGCTTTCTTTTATATTGTTACGATGTCTCACCCCTTATGTTTGAATTTTTCCTTCATATTGGTAATGTGCAGATGATCTGAAGTAGCTCGAGGTTGAGGTTAGCTGAGGAGTTGCTTTATTTTGTATAGATTTAGTCGATGTCAACTCTGATACATAACACTTGGGAAATTGTATTTGTTTTGTTATATTGGGAGTAAACTATTGTAGAACTCCATTTGTTGGATTTAATTGATGTTTTATGTTGAATTTTGAGTTATGATAATTATAACTCGTGTTGAAGAATTGAGAATAATTGTTATTGATGTTTTCTGCTGCGAATAAATGCAATGAAGTTTAAGACTAATGAATATGTGAATTTGTGTTGTGTATCTTATTTCATGAGCATGTATGATGGACGAATGTGACATCGTAATTGAGAAAATTGTTTTAATTTCTCTTAATTATTTAATTATCGCCTTTGGGGAAATTAGGGTGTTACATTTTCCTCCATCATTTTTTAACATTATGGTTCACTTACTTATTCATCTAGTCAGAAAAATTAGGTTTTGTAGTCTAGTTTATTTAAGGTGGATGTATCATATAGAGAGATACATGAATATATTTAAAGGGATATTCGAAGAATCATAACCGACCGGAAGCTTCGATCATTGAAATGTACATCACAGAAGAAGCTGTTGAGTTTTGTTCAAACTATTTGTCAAAAATATAGTCTATTGAAATTCTAAAGTCTCATCATGCTGATACATTTGATGGTACAGGTACTCAAGGTTTAAATTTTAAGTCAATGAGTCGGGATGTAGTTCTTGAAGCATATTTTTATATATTGAATAATATTAGTGTTGTTGAATCTTACATAGAATAACATAAAACAATTATAATGAAAAAATATCCCAAAATGCATGACAAGTGGTTGTTGGCACAACATAATAAGAAATTCATAAATTGGTTTAATAAGAAGATTTCTAATGATGATGGTGCATCCAAGATAATTAAATGGTTGTCGTACATGCCAAAATTTACTGTGATAACTTGGACTGGGTGTGGCAAAATGGGCCCGGTCCGTTGGAAAGGCATTTTCTACCCGCACTTTAGCGCGGGGCGGGCCAAGAGTTTAGGCCCTCACCACCTAATGTGACTATCTGTCCCGCCCCGTTTTCTTTGCGGGCTTTTGCGGACATGAGCATTAGCATAAAATTTTTCATTTTTAGACCTAAAAGGTACAGTACCCGCAGGCTTTCCCTGCCCCGCACTCACTTTTTTGCATGACGGGCCTAGGTTTTAGACCCTCATCCTCAATTATGTCTGCCCTGCCCCGCCCCATTTTTTGTAGGGCAGACTTAAACGGGACGGGCATGCCCGCTTATCACCCCTAACTTGGACGACATACAACATTTTTAATTATTCCTTTTATACAAAAGCAAAAGATGATCGTAGTACAATGCAAAATAGTGGGGTTATGATTGAGGTCGAATCCATGTATTTATCTAGGTAGAAAGATAAGAATCATATTTTGACAATCACCGCGTTCTATGGCGTCATTGAGAAAATTTTTGAGATTGATTTTAGCATGGGACATATATTAAGACAGAGAGATCCATTATCACTGTTTATGTTTCTTAAAGTAGTTGAAGGTGTCATTTGAGGAAAATTTTGAGATTGATTATACCATGCTAAAATCAATATATGTCAAATAGTTGCTGATTTTAGACATGGTGAAATCCATCCTCTTCATGTCTCATGAAACCTCTTTTTCTTCACTATAGGAATTTCCAATCCACCAAGTTGTATACTTTTTAGAAGTCCACTTTGAATAATACTGCTTTTTTCTTTCGCTTAGCCTCATATACTATCTCAATGCAATCAGAATTGCGTCCAGGATTTGTCTTCCTGAAATGAATTGTGACCGGGTTTCATCTATAATTTTCCCAATTACTCTTTTCAATCTATTAGCCATTACTTTTGACAACACCTTGTAAAATCATTAACTAAATAAATATTAATTTTTAAAATTTTTATGGTAATCAACGTGGGGCAAAGGATATATTATATTCTCCATCCCCAAAGTGCTTTTAATAAATTTTATTTTCGTCTATGACAAAATCCCCTCTAATGGGTGTGAATTGATATTTATATCCATAATCAATAATTAAGTGAAAATAAGGTAATTTCTCTTTATATTTTTATATAATGTGGTGTGGTTCGCAGGAGTTTCTCGCGAACAATCTCTAATCTCTTATTTAAAGGTTATTTGTAGGATCGACTACAAAAGTCATAGATTTCGTATTAAATATGATAATGTTTTGGTGTTTGAAATAATTAAAGTATGAAACGTAATAAGAAAAAGGTAAAAGACAAAGACAAATAAATAAATTGTAAGGTAGAAATGATAAACAATACTTGAAATAAACTGTTTTGAATTTAAAGGTGGACGCAATCGTACATTTCTCAGAAATGACTCATTTCTCTCTAGACGCGGGTACATTGCGTGCTTTCTTATAATGTTATAAAATGCAATCACTAACATGAATGAAAAAACTTGCTTAAATAGACAGTAAAAGTAACTGATATCCTACACGTTTAACGGTTATTATAACCACGTTTGGAGTTTGTGGTGAAACTACCTTTCTGAAACTTCTCACGTTTTGTTCGCAACCGTCAATGAAAACTACTCTTGTTGAACTCTTTATGTGTTCGACTTGGACTTCAAAAACCCTTTCATCAACCTGACTCTCAATCAACTGACTTTAGCCCATTACCTCAACCCAACTTCACAACTCTGAATTTCGTTAAGTCTCACAGGGACTTTTCTTTGATAACCTGTCGATGTCTCTCATTTCACTATGGGTTATGTCGAGAATACTTTCCCCTTAGTGATGACCCTTAACTTATAATCACTTCTTTTGGTCAAAAATTGTTGGTTAACAGGCGCGCCTCTGAAAATCCTAAAATATCTTTGGATTTATTCGAAAATACATCTTTAAACACACCAAATTTTACTTTTTATTAGAATTTAGTTCGGAGATAAATCTCTAAACTTTTTTAAGATTAATTCGCAAATATATTTCCAAAAATTAAATATTAATAAAAAAGATGAACCTCTCACCAGTTTGATCATGCCTTCAGTCCAAACCTATATCCATTTTTCTTCAACTATATTCAAAATGCACAACAGAAACCTAATGTGCAATGTCGATAGAAAATGCAAAAACAAAAATTAAAAATTAGAATAAAAATACAAAATGATAAATCAATGCTCTGGTACAGCTAAAAAGCAGTTTTGTCTAAAATATTAAAGTAGCATAAATCAAGTGATTAATGTTAAGCAAAACTTAAATTAGTCGAGTAAAATCTCATGGAAAAATTTTTTATTTGTTGTTTTTCTTGATATTTTCGAAGATACATCTTCGAATTAACCTTATAAAAATTTAAAAATGTATCTTCGAATTAAATTTTAACAAAAAATAAAATTTGATGTATCTTCAAAAATAAAATATATCTTTTATATTTTGCCAGAGATCTAGGAAAAATATAAAAGTGCAATGAAAAATTCCAAAAATATTACAATGCCATTTTTTTTATAAACATCAAACAAATTCTTACAATCTCAGGTTATACTTTAGTTAGCTGCTCATTAAGATTAATCTTATCGAAACCCCTATTGATGATAATAAAAATCATAATTGTGAAAATGATAATTAGAATGGTCTCCCATTGGTTGTTGTAGTAGGGTTGTTTGTGGCTGGATTTTTTTATTAAAACAAATTCAATTCACCCCTAATAAAAACACAAATTTATATGAAACTTCGTGCATACAAAAGTTTACTCAAAACTTTACTTACTTTAAACGGTAAAATTGGACTTTTTGAATGAGTAGGTTGCAAGACCAGATACGAAAGTTTCAAAAAATATATGAAAATTCGGATTTGCAGAAAAGATCTTTCATATTATTACAGATTTGAGCATGTGAAGCAAATTGAGAGGCTGCCATAAGCTTGATAAGCTTGATAACCAAAGATTTCATTATCAACATACTATCCTTTCATAACCGGTCATACAAAAACCCAATTACAAAACCAGTTATTTATTAAACTTGGTTTAAAAACCGGATTCAAAAACTGGAATTTTAACATATAATCTGATTTTAAAAATTGCACAAAGTATAAAATCAGTTAGTAACATGACTTTTCCAGCATGCAATGTGCCAGAATATGTGTAGAATAAGCCATAACACCAAGTTTTCATTCCCTGCATGCAAAGCACAACAAGAAAAAAAAGGGGGAAGAAGGTATTGATTGGCATACATCAAAACAATCAGTCTGGCGGAAGGTAGATTCAGATGCCACAACTGGACAACTCAGATTTGTAAGTAGTGAACAAGTAGCTGTTGAGACATGCAAAATAATGTATTTAAGTTAAGTTTATACACTTGCTAAAACATTATACTACATGATTTCAGGAAAATGTTCCGTAACAGATAGGCTCTTTGACATAAACAGGACTTCATGGCATAAATTGAACATGATAAGCAACTAACATAGCATAATCATCCAAGACATTAAAACACAGGTAAAGTATAAAACCAGAATAGTCAATCCCGGATAGCTGCGCGGATTAGCCACCTCCTAAAGTGGGATTGCAGGATAATGTATAGCAGGATGAACGCTATTTGATATTTTTTACAAATAAAAATAAAAGCATTAATACAGATAAAATAAAAACAGATTGCAGTAAAATTAAAATAAAGAAAATATAAACATATGAAATACAAACAAAGTGCAGTGAGACAGAGTGGAGGGAGGATGAAATACAAACAAAGTGGAGTAAACAGAATGGAGGGAGGAAGAAACAGAATTGAAGGAGGAAGAAGGAACAGGGGAAAACCCAACTGAAGGAGGATGGTGGAGGGGATGGTGGCTGAAAGGAAGAAAGGAAGGACAGCGGCGATGATGGTGGGAGGGAGGAACATAATGACTGAGGAAGAAAGAGGGACGGAGGAAGGTGAAGCAAAGTTAGGGCCCATATTTGAGCAAAAAAAAAACCAAAATTACTCTTAAAACAGTTCAAATTTTAAGGGTAGTTTCAATTTTTTGGAGGGGAAGTTGAAAACAGGTCAAAACACTGCTCTGGGCCGGAAAGCTGCTCCGATCCCGCGACCTGCGATCTATTCATAGCACCCACGATGCTGAACTGCGCCGCTTTTCAGGTCGCAGCCGACCTCTGCACTGCTTGAGAGAGCGCCGCTATCCACAGCCATTGATGCACCGCTTTTCTGGTCGCAGCCGACTTCTGCACTGCTTGAGAGAGCGCCGCTATCCACAGCCATTGATGCGCCACTTTTCTGGTCGCAGCCGACCTCTGCACTGCTTGAAAGAGCGCCGCTATCCACAGCCATTGATGCGCCGCTTTTCTGGTCGCAGCCGACCTCTGCACTGCTTGAGAGAGCACCGCTATCCACAGCCATTGATGCGCCGCTTTTCTGGTCGCAGCTGACCTCTGCACTGATTGAGAGAGCGCCGCTATCCACAGCCATTGATGCGCCGCTTTTCTGGTCGCAGCCGATTTCTGCACTGCTTGAGAGAGCGCCGCTATCCACAGCCATTGATTACTCTGCATAAAACATGGCTATTTTACCATCATGACATAAAGTCTATATGAATCGAACATCATCTAAATTAGTACAAATAAGATACTAGTATTGTTTAAGATAAATACCAAAAGATTATTCTTTTAGAATCTTAATAAAAAACAAAACATACCTTTTCCATATAGTTTTTAGAAAATGACACATTCACGTAAACCCATAAACTGAGACCAAGGTACCGCCATGGCGGAAAGGCGTGAAGAACTATCAAATTTTCAAACAACTGCTATAGTCAATTTGTGAAGGAATGCCTACAATAACAACATCATAGGCCACAATGGGATGTTAATATGGCAGAATTTCGGACATCAAAAACACTGATCTTGATGTCCACAGCGTAAAGTCAAAATAAAATACCACAGTGACAACCAAGCCTTAACCTACTAAGTGGGGGTTGGCTACATGGATCAAACGGCGTCATGATATATATACCCAACTCATTAATCTTGATATCTTCCTCTTATAATTTTTCTACGTCTTCCTCTATCTTTGGTGATTTGACTACACTCTAGTTGATCTATTTTTCTTAGTACAAAATTTACATGTCTTCTCGCTACATGCACAAACCTTCTCTCTACATGCACAAACCACCTAAGTCGATTTTTCACCACATTTACTATGATAGGGGCTACTCCAATTCTCTCTCTAATATTGTCATTTCTAATCATGTCTAGTTTTACCGCACATGCAACATAACATCCCCATATCTCCGTTATGCTTATTCAAAAAATAAATAAATAAAATACAAGGAATTAGAGTGAAATATACAGTACTCCCAGTTGAGATCCAAATTAAAATCAATTTGGGAGTAGTCATTCAGCACCTACCACCATGGTATCATAGATAACTAAGACCATGAATACATTCATCACAATTGTGCCAAAATATAATATTGACACTTCACAACATAAGGAAGTAGCAGTAATATGACAACAAGATATCTATCAGACTTTTCTAAAAGTAATCTTCCAATTAGTTGGAGTTGGAGAGTGAAACAAGAAGCATTACTTTTTACTAACATATTATCTTATGTAATCTATTAACACTTAAAGAAAGAACATTACATTATAACTTTTGTCATAGTTAATCAATATTTATATCAGTCCACTAATCAAATGCTTGATTTGTTAGAATAACAACAGATAAATAAATTATAAAAAAAGATAGAAAATTCAACTTCAATTCTACTAAGGTAGTTTCAGGTTACTTTCAAACATAAACTGTTCTGACATCCTGGGGCTGGCGTGTGATTATGAAAGCTAGTTAACTACCTGCAACATGAGGCAGATTCAGCCATAATCATTAACGATTCAACAGGTGCAAATTTTGATCCCGTAAATATCTTTAGTTAAGCACTAAAAACACAAATTTTATAACCAAATTTCTATTTTGAGTGATCATGATAAGGAATTGCTTCAAATTCATGCAAACATAAAACTGTATTACTTGACGTTGGTTGCATAACAGAAAGCTTTGACCGCATTGCCTTTCCTGCAAAAAATGCCACCTTAAAAAGGATTGCATGCAACTATATAGCTAACTCAGTAACAATTTAGAATAGTAACAACAAAATCTCTGCAATCCACAAAAACTAAATGAGAAATCAAAATGAAACTCCTTTCAAATCAAGCACAAACCGGATTTCTAATACATTGAGATACAACATATATCTGCAAGAGTTTAATATCGTAAAGGTTGAAACAGACCTTGAGACAGACAAAGCCATACCAAGAGAAGTCTTAAATACTAGATAGTCGAGTAAATAATTATTCGGTCCTCAAATATGTCTTTCAATAGTTAATTTAGTCTATAGAAATACTAACAAAATACACACTTGAGGATGTTTTTATTTTGATACATTCAAGAACTGAAGTGACAATGCCCAACACATTTAATGACTAAAATGCCTATTTACTCTCCATAATATTGAGACTTTGCACAGTTGAGAGAAAGCTCTGATTCTCATTTCATCAAAATGACAAACTACAACAACAAAAGTATAACCGACCGATGGTAGCTATATACTCAATAGTCAAATAGCCTCAAAATAGATTACAAACACAGCAAAGCATAGTCACAAACTAGTTCATTGAGACTCGAGTATATATCCTACAAAATGGCTTCATCTCTCATCTTAATCACATAACACTAACATTTCAAATTAAAGGTGTGTCTCACATGGTACTAAACACTAGAACATACTGTCACACTTAATCACTTCTATTTTGTGTCAACATATAAGTATCATTTCATTGCTACATAGACTCCTAACACACATAAAAATCAAATAGCAAAAGGATCAAACCCTCCTTTAAGCATCTTTTCCAAAGGCCAAAACAACGGATTTGGCAAATTCTCCCACGCATACCAATCCCATCCATAACACTTATCAGGTTCCATATTCTTCACGACATGCTCCTCTTCCACATCCAACACCACTCTCATGAAAACAGTAACATAATGGCACTTCTTCGGCTGCTCCAAAAACACGTTATTCGTAACCGTCAAATACTCTATTTTATTTCGACCTAATTCTAACCCTGTTTCCTCTTTCACTTCTCTCGCCGCGCATTCCTCGAAGCTTTCCCCTAAAATCAATGGTAAAAAGAACAGTAAAATCAATTAGGTTTATCTTATTTGAATGTTTCTCTCCAGAAAAATAAAGTGACAAATACCGAATTCGAGGTGGCCGCCGGGAAGAGCGAAGGTGGCGTCTCCGACGGTAGAACGACGGCGGCCGAGTAGGATTGATCTGTTTTTCAAGATGAATATAACCACCGCGACTCGGGGTGGCGGGAGCGGCGTGTTTGGCTCGCCGTTGTTCTCCATTTCTTGTTTTGTTTATGTGTGGTTTGTCTCTGCATTTTTTATATTTAAATTGATGAAGTGGTTTCGTACAGCACTGTGTTTTTTTGGTCTTGGAAGTTGAGTGTGCTTGGTTTCCAAGTATAACTGAATTGTCACAATTTTTAAAGTGTATTTATTGGGTGGCTTCTAGAATGAGGACTTTCTCACCTCATGTATCACTACTTAGATTTTTTCACACGCTTAAAATTAAATCTTTTGAAGTATTTAGAAAAGAAGAAATAATCATGTTTGAAATCAGGAGAAAGAATCTTATTTATCAGCAAGCTTCTTAATTGTTGACGGATTGGAGAGAGGCTTAGCATTATCATTCCAATAATGAAATTATTAACCCTTCGTCGACTATTATCAGATGGAGCAAATCTTTGAAGGGTCGCCTTAATTGCAATATTGATGCATCTTTTACTCATAATAGGGTAGGTATTGGTGCCTGTATTAGAGATGATGTGGTCAGTTTATTGTAGTCCGGACATAATGGTTTTGGCCTTGCACTGATGTTGTTATTGGAGAATCTCTAAGTCTTTTGTCAGCCTTAAAGTGGGTTCATGAGCTGGGGTACGATAATATGGATTTTGAGTTAGATGCAAAGCGAGTTGTGGATAGTATGACCAATCCAAATCCCAATAACTCAAATTTCATAGCTATTACTAGCGAGTGTAACTGGTTTATGACTCTTTTCTTTAAAAACTCTCATGTTAAGTTCATTAGAAGACAAGTTAATGAGATTGCTCATGGTCTGACAAGGGTGACTCCATCTCTTACTAATTTTTATAATTTCGTTGATATTCCAACATGTATCTAGAATATTATTATTAATAAAATGGATTAATCTTTTTCCGTAAAAAAAAGGATTTCATATAAGTAAACTAGTCAATAATTATTTTAATATAAGTGAACTTATTTAATGCTTCGCGATTTCTCATTGAAACATTATTGAAAAAATATTTAAAAAGAAAAGAAAAAAAAGAATATCAACTGACCGTGTAAAATATTATTATACTGTCAATCAATTAGAGGTATATATTCAACCAAGTCATATTTTTTTATTTTAAAATATTAATATGACAAGACTGAATGTTATAATTTTATTGAATGATGGTATGAAACTAATTTCCCAAAACTACCTTTACTCTCATTAAAAAAAGACTAATACTAACGTAATGTAATTTATTATACTAATAATAATTATTGACTAGTTTACTTTTCTCATTTATATTATATTTTAGTACGAAATTAAATTATAAAAAAACATTAAAATAAAAATAAATGTAACTATTAGTAGTGGTAATTTTTTAAAGGAGGTGTGCGAGTAATTACATTTATTTTGATGTTTTTTTATTATTTTTTTTCCGTATATTAAGGACTAGAGAGAATAATATCATTAAAATAAATAAATTAGTCAATAATTATATTGGTTACTATTAACATCAATAATCAAATATGATAAATTAAATTATGTATGGTGCAATAAATTTTTTAACTAAAAATAACATTCATTCATTCATTTAAATTGACAAAATATATCGAATAATACAAATTCAAAATCACTATAAATTAAAAAAAAATATGAACATGCGAACAAATTCACCGCACTCACGTTAATAGCATATAACAGCAAAATGCCTACAAAAGTGACAAAACATACAAATATGATGAAATTGAAATGCTCAAAATATTCATGTCTCTGAGTCTGGAGCGTTGACGACGTCAAAGTTATTGGTTGAATATGCATTAAATCGAAACTAATATGTCAATCTGAATCAAACAAAAACTGCACCAAGACGGAAAACCAAGTAACGCCGCAATAAGAGGACGACCAACACAATGTTGCACTAAGACGAGGAAATCACGAAGAAAAAATATAAAAATAACGTGAAATCACTTATTTGAATGAAAAGGAAAGAAAAAGAATTCATATGAGTGATTTTGGATCAAAAATTGATCCTAAAATCACCTCTCTTTACTGGATGAAAAATAAAAGAAAAATAGGATTGAAGAAAGAAGGGGCGTTTGAGAGAGGAAATACGGTGCAATAAAATTAAGATCATATTTTTGTATAAACAAGTTTATTGATAAAGAGCACTAGGGGTACT